ACCCTATTCGCAGGCTGCAGCGTACGTTGTTTAGCACGTTGTTTTCAAATCTTACCTTAAATGTAAGTAAGATAGGCACGAATCTCAAAATGCCTGGACAGCGGAGGATCTGAATCAAAGTTTTATACCCATCAGCAATTCCCTGAACAGATTCCTCACCATGAAGTTCTTGCTCAGACTTTTCCTGTTGAAACAATCCAACCAACGTAGTTGTGACTAAAAACACAATTCCCCAGAAATGAAAAAATCCTGAAAATGCGACCACTCCCTTTGGTGATGGCTGCGTTCTAAGATATCTGTTGCTAAAGTCGGCAGAGGTCAGACCTAAGAACACAGCATTCCCGATGAAAAACCCCGAAAGATGACCAACAGTATCGCAAGTTGAGGCATAACCGACATTTTCTCTGGACAGTAATGTAAGCGACCAGCCATCAACAGCAATGTCCTGAGTCGCGGCAAGGAAATTCAGACAGAAAAAGATCACAGTTAGAAAAAGAACGCTTGGGCCTTCTTCACTGTTTTCATCCAGCAAAACCTCGATGTGCTGAAAAACGAAAAAGATAATTAGATTGTATGTCCTACAAGAAAATGGAGTATGGTTTTTCACACATTGTTTTCACTGATTATGAGAACTCAGCTGCAAATTTCCGAGAGGTTTTGGAACGGGAAAGGCTCAGGGAAGCAAAAAATTACTCTCCCCCATTCCCCGTTTTTCCATCCCCACGCTCCCACCCTTTCTTCCCTGTTTTACCCCTCCCCCGAGCAAAACGAAAGCAATTTTTTTCAACCTTGTCCCCCCCTCCCCGTTTCTCCTCCTCGTTCCCCGTCCAAATTTGATAATGCAGCACAACAGTTTAATCAACGTGGTTATGAGCCACTCAGCTTGGAAAATGGATTGTCTGAACAGTGATAATTTTGATGCCACTGACTTGAGGTTTTAATCCGTAGGTTAAGTGAAAGCTAAAGCCCACTGGCACTGTTAAGACATAGTGCAAAACGCAACGGTAAGAGAATACACGAGGAGATTTAACACTGATGAAAACATCCCTGAAGTTATCGGTCCGAGAGACCGAGTTATCCTCGTATGAGAAACCGAGACGATTATAAAGAAAGTACCGATCACCAAAACAAGTAACAATTCTCATTTTCATTCCTCTCATTTTCTTCGTTCTTTATTTTCCCAGCCAGTATCAGTGATTTTTTTTCTCTTTGTTACCTTTTCTCATCTTAGAAATTAAAACTGTACAGTCACTATACAACAAGGACAGCACCAGGTCTCGTCCACTCAACAAAGTTAATCCCTGTTCGGCGGGGTGCGTACTTGGAGGGGTGACCAAATACGAATACCCCGTGTTGTAATAACTCCTTTATTTTCTCTTCTTTTTTTTTTTCCTTCCCTTTATTAAGACGATATTAAAGACTGCGGAACTACCAGTCTTACGTAATGTCGTTTCTTCTATTTATCAATTATTTGGTTCTCATTTCGCCATGTCCGTATTTATGTGTATTTATTTACAATATCGTATAAATCAACAACGGAACACGTCGTTCGAATTGTCCTGAATTCTCTTGACTGTTGATCATCTAAAACAGTTAATCACGGTTTGAATCATTCGAAAATTCATACAGCTCCTCAATTTTGTGACTTTCATTGTCTTCTTTTTCGGCAATCGAGTATGGTTAAACCTGTATGAGCGGACACCTTCGGGAAATGAGCTATTTATATAATTACAGTTAGTTTCTATTTATAAAAACGTTCGTGCGAAACCTTTTTTCAATGTAGAGCATTTCTGCGGTAAGATATTGAGTACTTACGTCAGAAATTCAAAGAATAACTAACTTGACACGGTGCGACGACTGTAAAACGGCCTCAAACGGCGGATGTTCGAAACCCGGGGTGGGGGGTTGTAACTCCAATATGAAAAGGCCGGGGATGCTCGTCGTTTCGGATACAAATCAAGGATTCTGGTCTCACTTGGGATGTTGACGACGAAACGTCACCATTTTTAGCTGTCCAAGTATCCTTTAGGGTGCACTCGAAGAAATAATAATTAAAAGAAACGCTTTCGTTAAATTTCTGTTTTCAGGCTTGATTTCCGCTGCTCGAGTGCGCGAGTCGGGTCTACAAGTGCGCGCACGATCCTTGCTGGAACAGTGGCTAGTAATCGAACCTATTCCGTTTTAAGTGGTATCTTTTAGGGGTCTAATGAAGCTCGAGTAACTCCCATATTAGTCTCCTTCAGGAGTTAAATTTATTCAAATTTTCCGACGAGCATCCGTGACCTTTCCATATGGGAGTTCCCCCCGGGGGTTCAAATGTCTAACAGGAAGTGACCCAGTGAAGGAGTGATGGAGTGAAATCGCTTCAACACTACAACTTGGAAAATAATATTTTGCAAGTTAGAAAGGAAACTTACCACCGAAAGGATAAGCAAAACAATTCCAATCAAGTACTGAACCGGAACAAGCCAAGACTTCCTTCGGCCAAATCGCGAGAAATAAGCAGTGTCTACAATAGGAGCCCACAACAGCTTCATGCTGAACGGCCAAAACACAAGACTAAACGTTGCTTGGTCCTTGTAAGCAACCTTTCTTGTTTGTAGTAACATCGGCATAGCGCCGGCTAGCCCCAAAGGAATTCCTTGGAGTACATAGAGGAACACAAGCAAGGCTATGCTTCCTCTGTCTCGTTTTAAACTCGGTTGTTGATCGCTTTTCTCCATGAGCTTGTCTTGGTCGCCTTCTTTTTCTACGCCGTTCGCTGTTGAAACGACACCATTGGTCAGTTCTTCATCAAGAAATGTAGATGCCGTTCTTTTCGCTACTGCCTCTGCCGCTCGTGATCTTGTAATCATATTCGAAACGTCTCAGTTAATTGTTTGAGATGTACATATACTGCATGTTAGACAAAATTCTGGTGCTCTGTTGCACGGGAAAAATAAGGAAAATTCTATTTGAAGACGCCGACAACAGAGAAACGTGGCGGCAGATTACAGGTGTTGTGGCGTTTCAGTATATCGTAAATGACGTAGGTGTATCCATGATGTACGTATAGTACCACTGGCTCAGGCCTTTCGTGGAATACGACGCAACACTATCGAGCAAGGACACAGGGAGACCAAACTCGAAATTTCAGCTATTGCTCTGAAATACACTCATTACATTTTGACGCAGTAATAGCTATTTACACCACGTTAACTCCTTATAAGAGAAGCCTGCTCAGCTCAGGTGGCTCAGGTAAGCTTATTTTAAATGCACATTGCCATTATTGATTTTTTTCACAGTTGGTCTTACAGCTTTTTCTCGAAGCCACACCTCTTTCCTCCAATTTTTTCTCATTATTAAACATTTCACATAATTATCTAATTAAGATCATTTAGAAGAATACGTGTGTTTTGGGGGACTTTTTGAGTTGTTAAGAAGTTCTCGTCTAAGCTTTAATCAAGTTGAATCAGCCCTATAGGGTGTTACAGATGCAGTACGTACACATTTTAAATCTAGACACTCAAAGTCTGTGTACATGTACTGTAAACATCTAGGACTGCTAGTAAACCTCCTTCCAGACATCATCTACAGGCAAGCTACAGGCAGGAATGATCTATGGCTTCATCTGTGGTATTTTTGTATGTGTGTGTGTGTGTGTGGTGGTGGGGGTTGGGAGGGAAGGGGGTTGATAGCACTATCTGGAGTCTATGGGTTCATTTATTCATAAAATGGGATTTATAGTCATTTGTGAAGAGGGTGCAAGAGTGGAATATGCTCATGTGATTTTAATTTGTTCATTTTATTACTACAATGATGAAGGTTTACATACTGTATATATTGATTTAGGAATCACCATTCCGTACATATATTTCAAAATTTTACAGTTTTATTTACCAAATAAAGATTAGCCTAAGCTTTGTATTACACTGTGATAAAACACTAGGAGCGATTGAAAACATGAGGGAAAAGTAGAAAACCTGAGCTGCAGGTGAGTGTTTTCTACTTTTCTCGAGTGTTTTGAAATGTCCGGAATGTTTTATCACAGTGTAATACACACCTTAGGCTTCTTCATTTGCTTTATGATATAGAGGTAATGTGGCAAAAAACAGTAAAGCACGCTTTTTATATGTTTTATACTCTGATAAAACATGGGTTTTTGACCAATCAGAGTACGTGCAGGGTCCTAATCTATATTATAACATGTAATTATTACTAACATTTACATGTAGCAGTTTAATGAGCCATGGTGCATGGACTTTTATCTTGTGTGCCAAGTTATTGTAATTTATTGATATCTCCAAACAGGTTCTGGTAAGTCTTGTAGAGATCGAGTTTCCTGACCTTTCCAATGCAACCATAAAATCCCAATAACCAGACAGACTATGGACTCCACATAGTATCCATCAATCCACGTCTGGCAAATGCCTCCAGTGTTTGTACAATCCTGCAAGTAATAAACAAGCTAACAACCCACTGTTGGTGCAAGTGTGAACTGGCTTAACAGTACTGGTGTAACAAATACTTACAAAGCACAAAGCAATGATAATTTCATGTTTTATTTTATGTTAAATAATTTTGAATTTGTTTTTTAAAAATGTAGGTAGTACCTTTCTCAACCTATCTCATTAGACATTCAAGAATGCAGTATCATGTTATATTACTTGCTTTGTAGTATTTTGGCCAGTCCTTAAGACAAGTCATTTACTAATGACCATTAAAAATTGACAATGGTACAACACACTGAAATGTCCAATAAGAGATTTATTATCCGAAATGCATATCTTTCCAAAAATTAAATTATTTATACTGGATTTCCCTTTTAGTGCACTCAGGAAGACTAATCAATTAAATGGTTGATTAATGGTCAAATAATTAATAATTACTTGCTTCCTTTGTAGGGTAATTCCCTGCACATGTACCTTAGCACTTGTCTTGCTGCTGCAATGCAGTCCTGGCATAGTTGCACCTAAGCAGTTTGTCCAGGTGAGTCCATCAACAAGCCACAAGGCTAATGTCTGACACCAGTTG